GTTAAATTCATTACCTCTGGACAATGTTTTTTTTTCAATGATTTAATTTTCTTCTTAACACTGTTCTGTTTTCCAAATTCTCTACAAAGCAAGTTTGAGAAGTGTAACATACATACAATAATATCCAAAGGAGAAAAGGGAAGAAGAGGAAATTTTAAAATATAGCAACCATCTGTCCTAATACTTCAAGTTCATCTCAGTTACAAAATCTCGTTCACTTTTAAATTTCAAATAGCACTAAGGGAAGAGATTATTTTATCTACCACATGGAAGTGTGGTTTCTTTTAAATAAAGAAATATGGTTCAAAATGCATATTTTTTATTTTAAAATGTAAGATTTTCAGTAAGTTTTAAATGGTCTGAGTACTATTTTTTAAAGTGAATAAATATACTCCATAAAATACATCTATTTATACACTATTTTGATTATTACATCAGGAATAAATGTCTTAATATTTTCCTCTTAGGAAGCACCCAAAATACAAGATTACATTTACTTCACTGCTCTTTTCTCCAATGAAAATACTATCTTAGCATATATTTATGAGTTAAATAGTGAAAACAGTAGGTATCGTTACTTATTTTGATAATATTTTGAGTGAATTTCAATTAAGGTAATTTTTGAAGTTATATGAAGGTTTAAGTTCAACAAACAAATGTTTCTACAAAATATCACATTCAATCATTAGTAGTTATACACTAAAATCACAAAAAATAAAGTGTGAAACAGATTATCAAGCATATTCCTATCACTCCACTAAATCATTACTGAAGTTTTACACTATACACATTTAAAAGAATAATTTAAAATTAACTTCAAACATTTTAAAATCTCTGAAAATTATTTATAACTAAACCAGATGTTCTACTACCTAATCTTCCCTAAAATTACTGCATCAAATAAATGTCTCTGACCAAAGCTTTTATCCCATACATGCAAAGTGATTCTAGAGTATACTATTTCCTATTTTCCACATACATAATGAAAATTAGGAACAACCTCTTCAGCTCTTAAAAGCTTTAATTTTCAGAAATGCCCCCTTAACAAGGATCATCATACTATTAACATCACGTTAATAACTTAGAGAAGTTACTTGAAGCAGATGATATAGTATTTCATGCCTCTGTTGTTAAAAGCTTTTCAATCTTTACAATAAATGATTGAGACTTCTAAGATTCTGTAGCTTGTTATATATTTTCTCCTCAACCTCCAAAATAAGTCTGTTCTCTATATGCCAGAAAAATATTTAACACAACAATTTTCTGTTACTGGAAAAAATACTTGAGATGTGATAAATGCACATATTAAGTATACACAGTTACATTGTCTTCCAAAGATATGGTTTGACGATAAATACCAAATGCCAAATATTTGTACTAAATACAAAAGCTTTAAATGAAGCTATATATTTAAATTTTTTCCTGGCACAACACTGATGTTTTTCAAAAATAGTCTTCTGAGAAAAGCAGTACAGAAAACCAATGGAAAAATAATCTGGTTGGTAAAACTCTAGCTAGACTAACAAAGAACGAGAGAGAAGACACAAATATCAATAGTTTGGATGAAATAGGGAATGTTAATACACACACTGTAGACATCAAAATAGCAATAAAAGAATACCACAAACAATTTATTCACAACTTAGAAATGAATGAATTTCTTTTTTTTTTAAACAGAAAATTTTCCATTTATTATCCTGTTCAAATACCACTGTCTATTTCTTGGCTACATAAAGTTCATATAACTTTTCTAGTCACTTTCAAGGTATTTCCACATTGGAAACTATACTCAAGGCCCATTTTTGCAGGCAGATCTTAATTCATTTTACTGACGTACTGTTTTCAATTCCAGACTCACTGCTGTATCTTATGTTCTACATTTCTTGGGTTCTACTTTTCTCCATGAAATATATTACTTTTTATTAAAATTCTTTTACTGGTACATTTTAGGTAGACAACACAATTACATTTCTCATTGGGAATTGTACCTTACATAATGCATCTTGGTTCTTATTTTTTCCCCATTCCTAGCCCTCCCTTCAC